AAATTCAAGGAAGACTTTAATTTCTTTCTTGATTTCTTCCTTGACCCAGGTGTGGTTCAGTAGTTGACTGGTCAGTTTCCATGAGTTTGTCATTTTTCTGTGGGTAGTATTGTTCTTCCCTTCTAACTTTAATCTGTGGTGATCTGAGAAGACACAGGTGGACACTGATATTTTTTTGTATCTGTGGAGGTTTCCTTTGTTTGCAAGTATGTGGTCAATTTTCGAGAAGGTTCCATGAGCTGCAGAGAAGAAGGTATATTCTTTCCTATTTGGGTGGAATGTTCTATAGATGTCTGTTAAGTCCATTTGCTTCATTACCTCCAATAATTCTCTTAATTCTCTAATAGGTTTCTGTCTGATTGACCTGTCCTTTGGAGAGAGAGGTGTGTTGAAGTCTCCTACTACTAGTGTGTGTGGTTTGATGGCTACCTTGAGTTCTAGTAATGTTTCTTTTACATAAGTGGGTGCTTTTATATTAGGGGCGTAGATATTCAGGATTGAGACGTCATCCTGATGAATTGTTCCTGTTATGAGTATAAAGTGTCCATCTTGATCTCTTCTGATTGATTTTAGTTTGAAGTCAGTTTTGTTAGAAATTAGTATGGCCACACCTGCTTTTTTCTTAGGACCATTTGCTTGAAACACCTTTTCCCAACCCTTTACTCTGAGTAGATGCCTGTCTTTGTGGTTGAGATGTGTTTCTTGCAAACAGCAGACTGTTGGATCCTGTTTTCGTATCCAATCTCTTAGCCTGTGCCTTTTTATAGGTGAATTGAGACCATTAATATTAAGTGATATTAATGACCAGTGGTTGTTTTCTCTGGATATTCTTATTGTTTTTGGAATTAGAATTTGTGTGTTCCCTTCTTTGAGTTGTGCTGGTGAAGAGTTGCTAGATGCCTCAGTTATTGTAGGCAGTGTTGGCAATGTTGGATTCCTTGGGTTGCGATTTTCCTTCTATTACTTTCTGTAGGGCTGGATTCGTAGCTACGTATTGTTTAAATTTGTTCTTATCCTGGAATGTCTTGTTTTCTCCATTGATAGTGAATGATAGCTTGGCTGGGTATAGTAGTTTGGGTTTGCATCCATGGTCTCTTAGCTTCTGCAGTACTTCTATCCAGGACCTTCTGGCTTTCATTGTTTCCATAGAGAAGTCAGGTGTAAGTCTGATCGGTTTATTTTTATAAGTAACTTGCCCTTTTTCCTTTGCAGCTCTTAATATTCTTTCTTTAACCTGTATATTTTGTGTTTTGATAATTATATGGCGAGGAGATGTTTTTCTTTGATCCAGTCTGTTTGGTGTTCTGTATGCTTCTTGAATATTTAAATGAATATCTTTCTTTAAGTTGGGAAAGTTTTCTTCCATAATTTTGTTCAAAATATTTTCTGGGTCCTTGAGCTGTTTCTCTTCTCCTTCTTCTATTCCTATTATTCTTAGGTTTGGTCTTTTTATTGTGTCCCATATTTCCTCAATGTTTTGTGTTGAGAATTTGTTGGCTTTGCAGTTTTCCTTGATCATTGCATTTATTTTTCTATGGTGTCCTCAGAATCTGAGATTCTTTCTTCTATCTCTTGTATTCTATTGATTATGCTTGTTTCTGTAGACTCTGCTCATTGACCTAGATTTTCCATAACCAGCTAGTCCTCAGTTTGTGTTTTCTTCCTTGCCCTCATTTCAGTTTTTAATTCTTGAACTGTTTCCATTACCTGTTTGATCGTTTTTTCTTGGTTTCCCAGGGTATCATGCACGTATTTACTCATTTCTTCAAACTTTTTGTTATACTTCTCATCCATTTCTATAAGGGCATTTTTCACATGTTGTTTAAGGGACTCTATTGCTTTCATAAAGTCAATTTTTTCCACTTCTGTGTTAGGGTGTTCAAATACTTCTGTTGTAAGATCATTGGGTTCTGGTGTTTTCATGTTGTTTTTCAGATTATTAGGTGAATTCTTGTCTTGGCGCCTGCTCATCACTTCCTATTGATCCTATCTAATGGGTCTTTTAAAACCGGATCAGGTTTCCCTGCTGGCCAAGGGTTCCGCTTACCTAATGCCCTCGCTCTGTTTCCTGGTTCCTGCCGCAGGCCAAGAACCCTCTCACCCCTCCAAAGGATCTTCAGGATCAGGACCACGCTCCCCGTTTGCCAGTGACCTCGCCAACAAAAGGCCTACCTCTATGATTTAATTGTAGTCGGGCTATCTGCTCTCGTTATTGCGCGCCCGTCCCTGCCGCATGCGTCTCTCACCGCGCCGGTCCCCCACAGCCGATTCCTTATTGCCAACACTAATATTCTCAATTCCTTAATAAAAAGACACAGACTAACAGATTTGACTTGAAAGTAGAAGCCATTTTTTTATGATGCATACAAGAAACACATCTCACTATCAAGAATAGGCATCAACTCAAACAAAAAGAATGGAAAAGGGTAGCAGGCAGGTGTATTATCATATAAAATATTCTTCAAACTGAAACTAATCAGAAGAGATAATGAAGGACACTACATACTCACTAAAGGAAAAAAATACACCGAGATGATATGGCAATTCTAAACAATTATGCAGGAAACACAATGGTACCCAATTAATTAAAGAAACACTACAACAGTTAGAATCACATACTGACACCACACAGTGATAGTGGTGACATCAATACCCCACTCTCACCAATAGACATGTCATCCAGACAAAACTAAACAGAAAAATTCTGGAGATAAATATCATAAATTAATGAACTTAACAGAAATCTACAGAGAATTTCACCCAAACACCAAGAATATACTTTCTCCTCAGCATTGCATGGAACTTTTGCCAAACTTGACCTTGGACTTGGATACAAAGCAAGTCTCAAGAGATACAAGAAAAATGAAGTAACACAATGCATCCTATCTATCATGAATTAAAACTGGATTTCTTACTGGGCTTAAGGCCCATTCTGTGAGATAGACCTCACCCCGACACTGCTAAGATGCTGAAGAACCTGAGACTACATATGCTGTGGGCCTAGGGGAAACCAAATGCTATTATTCAGATAAAGGAGCACAGCAATAAAATGATTTTAATGACTTTCTCTGTACCTATGTATCAGTGCTTCACTCAGCCCTCATCAGAGGCCCTTCTCACAGTAGATATGGGAACATGATACACACAGAGTCTGCTCAGGCAGGGTAGGTCTCATGCCCAGGAATAGTTCGCTAACACAGAGCAAACTCAATGGTATTTTTGTAGACTTTTTGTCTTATTTTGCTTTGTTTGGATATTTTTTGTTTTATTCATCTTTTGTTTGTGTATTTTGGTTTCTGTTTTGTGTGGGAGAACATTGTGCATTGGTTGTTGGTTTATGGAGGTAACATAAAGTTGGAAGAATAAAATGCTGGGGAGGAAGAATTAGGGGGAGGAGAAACTTGATCAAAATATATTTTATGATTTTTTTCAATAAAAAGGAAAAACAATACAGGTTCTTGCTCTGTAGTTGAGGGTCACCTTGAATTCATGATTCTCCTGTCTCAGAATCCCAAATGAACCACCTGGTGGTATTCGGGTTTACTACAGTACTTCTTCCTCTGTTTTTACCTCTCTGTGTGCTGGAGATTGAACCCAGAGCCTTGTGCATGCTTGGTTTGACAAGGTGCAGGTTTGACAACTGGAGAAGTAATAGGAACATAAAGTTTGACATGACCTCCCACCTGATGACTTGCCCTCATCTGGCTTCTCTGCTTTCCCCTGTGGCCTGTCTATATCAGCTGTCTAGTCACAAAGACAAAGAGATCTTCTTAAACTCAAATGAGACCAGTGATTTTTCTAGCAAAACCCTGTAATGGCTTACCAGTAACTCAAAGTAAAACCTAAATTTTTCACTAAATTAAAAAGGTTTTAATTATGTGTAGTTATGTGTGTTTGTATGAATATAGGTGTCCTCAGAGAGCAGAGGCAATGAATTCCCTGGAGTTGGAGTTCCAGGCTGTTCTAAGTGACTGAGTTTGGTGATAGGAACTGAATTTGGGTATCCTAGAAAAGTAGTATATATCTATCTAGCCCCAAACCTTATTAACATCTTATAATAATTAGAAATAAAAATGTCTTTTATCATAATAGATTCAAAATCTCTTCTTTTACTTTTTTCTTTTCTTTTTTTGTTTTGTTTGTTTGTTTTTCGGTTTTTTGAGACAGGTTTCTCTGTAGCTTTGGAGCCTGTCCTGAAACTAGCTCTTGTAGACCAGGCTGGGTTTGAATTCACAGAGATCCGCCTGCCTCTGCCTCCCAAGTGCTAAGATTAAAGGCGTGTGCCACCACCACCTCGTTCAAATTCATTTTTATTAGGTAAGGCAAAAATGTCAAATTCTTTGAAAAGAATTGACACTAATTCTCACTACGCCCCTTTGGCTAGCTTGGAACTTGATATCTCTATCAGACTGGCCAGAAACTCACAATGATCTGCCAGCCTCTACCTCCTAAATGCTCGGATTAGAGATGTTACATCATCATTCCTGGCCTCTTAAAAAAATCCTATTTTCTCTTACTTCTTCTAGCCACTGTTTATAACAAAATAAGTCTCACTGTGATGGATAATAAATACTACTAATAATAATATATAAGTGATTATTATGTTATAAACATCCTGCAACCTGAGTATCTGAAAATTTTGGTTAGTTGACAGTTGGACTAGAATTGGAGAGTAAGGATAGTTCCTGTAATGGTAGCCTACTTCCCTAGTATATACAAGGCTTTAGGTTCAATCTCCAATCACACACACACACTAAAACATATTATAAAGGAACATGAAGTCTTCCCAAATGCAATGTTTTGTAGCCATCAGAAACAGATTGTATTTTTATACTTACCTTGTGTTGTAACTCATTCTAGCTGGTCGTTGGTGGTGCACGCCTTTAATCCCAGCACTTGGAGGCAGAGGCAGGTGGATCTCTGTGAGTTTGAGGACAGCCTGGCCTACAAAAGCTAGTTCCAGGACAGGCTTCAAAGCTACAAAGTAAATCGTGTCTTACCTTGTGTTGTAATAGTAATGCGATAAAAATGGTTTTTAAAATGTGAAATGGAAAGAGAAGCAGATACGCATTGACTCTCCTGATCCGATTCTATTCCAAAAGGCTCAACCATTTCTGTGAGAACCGAGGTCTGGAATCCGAAAGGACCTTCGGTATGTTCTAATAATTTTCTGATGATTCCAAGTCCATTTTTACTAAAAACAAACCAATAAACAAAAAATGGATATCCCAGTGGTTTAAATAAGCAGGCATATTAACATACAATCTACAAATAAAACATACCCATATTAGGATTGAAAATAGTAATATACCAACTACCAAATTACTACTTGACAAATAGTTGTTCAAAGATTTTAGTTGCTAACAAAATGACATATACAACATAAATTTTCACACTTAAAATAGGCAGAGATTATCTATCATCTAACATATATCTATCTATCTATCATCAATTTATCTATCATCGATCTATTTATCATCTATATATCATCTTTTTAGTGCTGGGAATCAAACCTAGAACTCCATGCATGTTAGACAAATGTTTTACCTCTGATCCACACCCCAGCCTATGAGCATTTTTAAATGTCACAGTTCAGCAGAGATGATACTTAAATGGAAATAGATGCACATTGGCTACACCTATGCTTGTAAATTAAGACAAGTTTCCTAAAAAGCAATTTAACACTTCACATTTAAATGAAAAAAATGAAAAATAAGGTCATGACTGCTCCTAGGTACGGTGGATGTTTGCTCTCGATAAGAGGGACAGAATAATCAGAGGCATCTGGAAGGGTCCAGTGCAAAGAGCTTCTGGTTGTAAGGGGCTTTGGGAGTGCACAGCAGTGACAACTAGTATTTAATAAGTTCTCACATCAGACATATAATTCCTGTTGGTAAACCCCACTTAGCAACGCTGTGGGCTTACTAGCTGTAAATGACTGGTTGTTTCTGTCCACAACTTTCTCAGGTGTCACTACTATATCTTCCTAATAAGAACAGCTGTAGGGTTCTTTCTTCCCTTTGGTGGTGTGTTTTACACTTATTGGGCACACATATAGCTGTGATGGTCAGGAAGATGATTTCCACTTAACTGTATAATTTTGATGATAGAAATAATACTAGGATATTTTACATTGCTCAGACTGACATATAATTCTCAGCCACAAAGACAGCCTTTTACAGAGACAGCTAATTTTGGACTCCAGAACAAACTCAAAGCAGTCTTGTTGCCCCTGAAGATGAATATCTGGTTGTCCTAGAGACAAATACACGAGGTCATTTTCCCAGGTGTTTTACTGATTCAAGGTCAGGACAGCAGCAACTTTAGCAGACATTACATTTTTGCACATAGTCACAGGCTCAGGCTCAGGCTCAAGGTTCAGCCAATTGTTTACTATCTGGGAACTCTCACCAGCAGAGAGCTATGTGTAGAGCCAAGAGTGACTCACTGGCTGGTCAATGTGCCATCTTTAGCCTAAGAGAAACGACATGATTTATCTTGTATTACAAGAATGGGTCAAGCCCTGAAAATGTAACATGTAATTGTCCAGAGTTTGGCTGTGAGGAAAGGCATAGCAGTGTAGAGTAAGAAATTCTGTCAAACTCTGTAGGGAATGGCAGGAAAAGGGGCTGTGCAGAATGAGAATGAGGGTGTGAGTGCTGAGAAGGACATGCAAGAAGAAACGTGAAAGTATGATACTACGTGAAGAATGTATGAAGATTATAGCTGTGGGGAGGAAAGGAAGATGAAGCTGAAAAAAAAGAAATGTAGAAGAGACATGTATGAAAAAGAAAGATGTATAACCATGTAAAAGATGTGTAAATGTGTGTGTGTGTGTGTGTGTGTGTGTGTAAAGAGTATGGCTGTGTGGAGATATGTGGGACAAAGAAATTCTCAGAAAGATTTTTTTCAAGATGAAGTAAAGAGAAAGTTACCATTAGAAAGGGTGTATTTCTTTATTTCCCTTTAGATAGAGAAGTTTAGTTCTCATTGCACTGGTAGATATTTTTTGCATATCCTGGGTGCTGATTGGTTACTGAACCCCCAGTTAGCCATAGTCCAGACTAAAGAGAGCCATAAAATGAGAGAGTGGGAGCAAGAAGAGAATAAAGAAGAAACAAAGGTAGAGAGGTTTTACAATCCCAGCACTGGGGAGATGGGTTCAGACACACACACACACACACACACACACACACACACACACACACACACACGGCGGGGGGGAGGGGGTGACAAGTAAGCCCAGAAAAAGCAACATGGCACACATCATCAGGGAACTGAAAATTAAAAAATTAAAATAACAAAACCCTAAGACTAACACTGTCAAATGTTGGTAAGAATATATGAAAGACATTTTAATTAATTGCTAGGGGGAATGTAAAAAGGCATGGGGAGTTAGGCAGTTCTTTTTCACCTCAAACATAATCTTACCATATACAATATTCCTGATTTTCACCCTTCCTCCATCCCAGCCGTCATGGGAGTAGGGAAGTATATATCTTAATTAAGGGAGCCATTTTAGGGTTGGCAAGAGAAGTGACTCTAGAGGGGTTCCCAGGTTTCCAAGGAGATGTTCCCAGCTTGTTCCTTGGGCAGCTGAGGAGAGGTTGCCTGAAAAGGCCCTATCCTATAGCCACACTGATGAATATCTTGCATAATACCATAGAACCTTCGTCTAGCGATAGATGGAGAAAGAGACAGAGACCCACATTGGAGCACTGAACTGAGCTTCCAAGGTCCAAATGAGGAGCAGAAGGAGAGAGAACATGAGCAAGGAAGTCAGGACCACGAGGGGTTGGTCCACCCACTGAGACGGAAGGGCTGATCTAATGGGAATGAGCATGTGATCAAACCGGACTCTCTGAATGTGGCTGACAATGAGGGCTGACTGAGAAGCCAAGGACAATGGCACTGGATTTTGATCCTACTGCATGTACTGGCTCTGTGGGAGCCTAGTCTGTTTGAATGCCCACCTTCCTAGACCTGGATGGAGGGGAGAGGACCTTGGACTTCACACAGGGCAGGGAACCCTGACTGCTCTTCGGACTGGAGAGGGAGGGGGAGGGAAGTGGGAAGAGGGGAGGAGGTGGAAATTTTTTATTAAAAAAAATTAAATAAATAAAATAAAAAGATATAAGGAAAACAATATTCCTGATTTTTATCTAAGTGAACTGAAAAGATGTGTCTACACCAAAACCTGTGTGTAGATACTACTAGCATTGTGTTCATTGGGAGCAGCAGGAAAGTCTTTCAGTTGATGACTAGGTTGGAGCTGGGGAGATGCTTGGCATTTAAGAACACTGACTATTCTTCCAAAAGACATACCTTGATTCCCAACACCCACATGACAGCTCACAACCATCTGTAACTCCAATGCCTAAAAACCCAACGTCCCCTTCTGGCCATGGGCACTGCATACACATAGTGCACAGATAGATATATGTGTTGACCAAACACCCACACATAAAACAATAAAAATAATTTAAAACAATGGATGAATGCTTATATAAACTGTGTTTCAAACAGTCAGTAGAATACTATTTATCACTAAATAATTATCAAGTCATTAGAAGATAATGGGTATCTTTTCAATTTTTTGAAATTAAAATATAATTAAATCACTTCCCACTTTTTTTTTCTCCCTCTAACTCCTCCAATATCAGCTCCTCCCTTATCCTGCTTCCTTTCAAATTTATTACCTCTTTTCCTCTAATTGTATATATAGTGTGCATATATACATACATATATATACTCTGCTTAAGTTTAGTCCATTTGGTGTGAACATAATTTCAAGGCTGACAACCTGATATTGGCTAACCAATTAAAGGTTAATGCCTGAGGAAGACTACTTTTTCCCACTCCCAGCACTCCTCAGCTGCCTCTAGTTCTTTGTTTACTGGTGGGGGACCCTATGAAATTTCCCCCTCCTATGTTAGCATGCCCAGTGATGTATTAACTGTTTATGTCTTGTTTTATCAGGATAATAGGAATCTTTTTTAAAAAAATATTTTTATTTATTTATTATACATACAATATTCTGTCTGTGTGTATGTCTGCAGGCCAGAAGAGGGCACCAGACCTCATTACAGATGGTTGTGAGCCACCATGTGGTTGCTGGGAATTGAACTCAGGACCTTTGGAAGAGCAGGCAATACTCTTAACCACTGAGCTATCTCTCCTAATAGGAATCTTATAGGAATGCTTAGAGAAGAAGAAGCAAATTAATTTGAAAAGACTGTGTAACTTCAAATGCGTGGCATTCTAGAAAAGGCAAAATGAAGGTGGCAACAATAACAGCAACAATAAGGTTGCCAGGAGCTGTGGAGGCAAGGGTTACTAGATGAGACACAGAGGAATTTTAGTACACTGCCCTGGGATAATGTTCCTGAACACTATAAAGTATCATCACTCATATTGGTTTAAAATCACTGATTGGTCAGTTAGCCAGGCAGGAAGTATAGGTGGGACAACTAGACTAAAAGAATTCTGGAAAGAAGGAAGGCAGGGGCATAGTCCCAACCATGTGCAGAGGAAGCAAGATGAAAATGCCTCACTGGGAAAGGTAGCAAGCCACATGGTTAAACATAGACAAGGATTATGGGTGAATTGAAGTTGTAAGAGCTAGTTAATAATAAGCCTGAGCTAATAGACTGGATAGTTTACAATTAATACAAGCCTCTGTGCCTTTCTTTGGGACTGAATGGCTTCGGGACAGAGCAGTACAGAAACTTCCATCTAGAAATGGTGCCCAAATGTTTTACAAGAATTTGGGATTCTTGACAGACAATAACAGAGTAAAGCATGACTTCTTGGTAACTGTCTTTTTTTCTAGCAGGCTCTGTTTGCTGGTGAGAAGCAGAGGTGTGTCTCCTTTAAGAGAGGCTTCCTATCAGTATGGTGGTTTCTCAGAAAATTAGAAATCAGCCTACTTCAGGACTCAGCAATACACTCTAGGGCATATACCCAAAGGATGATCATACCACAAGGACATGTGTTCAACTATATTAATAGAAGCATTACTTGTAATAGCCAGAATCAGGAAGCAACCTAGATGCCCCTCAAACAAAAAAATGGATTAAAAAATGTGGTACATTTACACAATGGAGTACTACTTAGTGGTTTTTAAAAAAAGGCATTTTGAAATTTGCATGCAAATGGATGAAAAGAGAAAAAACATCCGGGGTGAGGTAACCC